CTATAGGCATGAGCCACCACACCCAGTCTATATTTAAATTCTTAAATTCTTTAAAACCCTCACAACTCTCACTAGTAATCTTTGATGAATATGAAGGAACCAACTCATTATTTTGATAATTGTTAAATAAAGGGAAACAATTAAGCATGAATCCTGCCTTTCCCGTCTAAACTGTATTTCAGGGAAACCAAATATATGTTGAAGGGAAGTTTCTTTTTATAAAAGCTTTTCAGCAGATACATGGATGAAAGAATTAGAATATCACCATTTTGTAAACCTTGATAGATATAATGATCGTCAGTAACTGCTAACGGCACATACACCATACACAGACGCACACACACATGCACACACATGCACACACGCACACGCACACACACCCCAACCCCAAATAAAAAGGACCACCAACACTAAATTTTGGTGGAATGTGGAGCACCTAGGACTTTCATACCTGCTGTTGGAAATGAAAAATGATACAATCACTTTTAACTGTTTGGCAGTCTCTTTTTAAAGTTAAATAATCATTTTCACTCCCAAGTACTTACTGAGAAGAAATTAAAATGCCCTCCAGGCCCTGCATGAGCCCATCCTTAGTTCTTTCTTCCTAAGGGTGGACTGTGCTGCCAGGGGTGGCTGTTTGCAGAGGATGTAGATTGAATTTGGATATGTGGGCTGGGGTTTCCTTGATATTGGGATAAAGGCAGGGGTGGGAAGAGAACAAGGACAGCCTTTGGGATGTGTGCCAGCTCTCCAGTGCAACCACAATCCAGTGAGGAACTCTGAGGCTGAAAACTCTAAATTCAAGCCTGGCCTTCCAGGTTGTTAAAAGGGTTTGTCAAGGTAGAAGTTTAGAGCATATTTAACTGTTAGCTTGAGTGATACTTTTACGTATTTAAATGTATGGTATTTGAGCCTTTGTTTGTACTATTGTCCCAGGTATGTAAATGTTAGGGTTAGGCCTACTCTTAGGCTCCTAAAGTTTAGAATAAACAATCCAATTACTTCTCTAAATAAACTGCAAGAAAACAAAAAAGAGAGAGGGAAAAAGAACCTATAGATTAACAGACCTCAATTGAACTGCAAAACCATTCATAAGACAATCAGGAAAATGTGAACACTGACCAGATAGAGTTGATATTATTGGGGGGAATGGTTAGGATTTTCTAGGCATGATAATAGTATTGAGAGTGTTTTAAAAGCATTGTTATCTTTTAGAAGTATATATTAAACTATTAACTGAGAAAATGTCTTAATGCTTGAAAAATTAGGGTCAGGGAGGCAGTGGGTAGGAATATAGATGAAACTTGATTGAGTAGGAGTTGAAGTACATGGGGATTCATACTGTTCTCTCACTTTTGCATGACCTTAAAATTCACTTGCAATTCCACCAGAGATTTCCATTATTAATATTTTGATATTACTTCTGTTTGGAAAACTCTGCCCCTACCGCAAAAGCTCTCTCTCTCTCTTTCCCTCCCCCACAAAGAGGCTCCCTTATCTCTCACTTTACATACTGGCCCTAGCCCTCCCGCCACCCAGCTTCCCGCCGCCCAGCTTCCCGCCCAGCAGTTCAAACTGACCAACAGTTGCCCACCACCTCGGCTTTTGGCTTCCCCACCCCCCAGCCCTTCAGTCCCCTATAAAACAACCCTGCCCCTCTGAGCGGCGCGGCCATTTTTCCTTTTCGTCCTGGCTGGCCCGCCCGGAGGCTCTTTCCTCTCAATAAAACCTGAACTTAAGGAATTTCCTCTAGCCTGCGGTCGGGTTTTTTCCGAAGGAGCTCAGTCTTCCCGCAGAGGGTAGGTCGGACACTTCAATGTATACTTACACACATAATTTAAGTAAATGGGATAACAACATATTTTATAACAAGCTATTTTCACTCAAAAGCCCTTAGCTTCTTTTCATAAGGCTTTAAGTTGTTTCCATTAAAAAATTTATTTTAAAAATTATTTATTTACAGAAGGGCTCTTGCTCTGTTGCCTAGGTTGAAGTGCAGTGGCACGGTCATAGCTTACTGTAGCACCCAACTCCTGGGCTCCAGTGATCCTCTCGCCTCAGCCTCCTAAAGTGCTGGGAGTATAGGCGTGAGCCACTGTGCCCTGCCTGTTTCCAACTTTTGACTAATGTTGTAATGACATTCATGTACCTACATCTTTTCTGATTTGTCTATCACTTTTGGATAACTTCCTAGAAGTATCACTGCTGATTCAAAGGTACACATATTTAACATTTTGATACATGTTGCCAAACTGCAGTTCAGAAAGGCTGAACCCATTTATACTCTGGCATGGCCCTATCTCATTTTTCTGCCAACACCAACAATTGTAATAACTTCGCTAATAAACTTCGCTAATAATACTGCAAAAAAGCTATCTTATTTCTAGATTTATTTATTTTAGAGACAGGCTGGAGTGCAACAGCACAATCATAGCTCACTGCAGTCAAGGCTCAAGTGATCCTCCTGCCTCAGCCTCCCAAAGTGCTTGGATTACAGTGCGAGCCACCGTGCCTGGCCTATTTGTATTTCTTTACTAGTGAGGATAAAAATATTTTCATGTTTATTAGGCATTTGTATTGTGGGTGTGCAAATTTGTTCATTTTTTTTTTTATCAGTTTTGTTTGATAGGGTGTTGGAACTTTTTATTGACACATGAAAGCTGTTTGTATACCAATAACATGCGTCTTTTGTCATATATATCACAAATATTTTCTCTCAGGTTGTTGCTTCAACTTCAATTACGATTTTTTTCTTTTGCCATGTAGTAATTTTTTTTCTGTTTTCTTTTGAGATAGGAGCTCACTTTTTTTTTTTTTTTTTTTTTAGCCTTTTCACTCTGCCACCCAGGCTGGAGTGCAGTAGTGCAATCTCAGATCTCTATCCCCTGGGTTCAAGCAATTCTCCTGCCTCAGCCTCCTGAGTAGGTGGGATTACAGGTGTCCACGACCACTCTCAGCCAATTTTTGTATTTTTGTAGGGATGGAGGATGCGGTTTTGCCATGTTTGCCAGGCTGGTCTCGAACTCCTGACCTCAAGTGATCTGCCCACCTCAGCCTCCAAAATCCTTGCTGGGATTATAGGTGTGCATCACTGCACCCGGCTGGGTCTTACTCTTGTTGCCCGGGTTGGAGTGCAGTGGAGTGATCAGAGCTCACTGTAGCCTTGACTTGCTGTCCTCAAAAATCCTCCTGCCTCAAGCCTCCCAAGTAGCTGGGACTACAGGGGTGGCCACCATGCCTGGCTAATTTAAAAAAAATGTTGGTAGAGTTGGGGTCTTCCTGATGCCCAGGAAGTCTCAAACTCCTGGTCTCAAGTAATCTTGCCGCCTCGGCCTCTCAAAGTGCTGAGATTACAGACATGAGTGACTGTGCCCAGCCAACCATGTAGTAATTTTTATTTTTATATAGTTTAAGAACTTCTATAGTTTTGGGTTTTGGAGTCATGTTTAAAAAGTCCTTTCTCATCACAAGACTATGAAAACATTTACTCCACTCTTCACTTATTCTTACAAGTTATCTTATTAAAATGTTATTTAAAGATGTAAACATAATGCTTAATATAGAATTGAACATTAATTTTAACCCCAAAGAAAAACACCAATACTTTGTTTGTATCAACAAAATGATTATGATTAATGATTAATATAAATCATTAAAAAAGTAATCATATTATGCATACAATTTTACAACTTGTTTTTTGAAAAACAATGCATCTTGGGGCATCCTCTTTTGTCAACATACAAAAATCTACCTCATTCTTTTTAACATGGTATCAAATTGTATACAGCAGTTTTTCTCAGCGGAGTGTGGAGTGCAGTGGCGTGATCTCGGCTCACTGCAACCTTCACCTCCAGGTTCAAATGATTCTCCTGCCTCAGCCTTCCAAGTAGCTGGGATTACAGGCACCTGCCACCACATCCAGCTAAGTTTTGTATTTTTAGTAGAGACTGGGTTTCACCATCTTGGCCAGGCTGGTCTTGATCTCCTGATCTTGTAATCCACCCACCTCGCCTTTCAAAGTACTGGGATTTCAGGTGTGAGCCACCGTGCCTGGCATAGACAGTTTTTTCTTATTACTCTCCCATGAAGTTTCAATACCACATATACACTGTATATCCATTTATATGAGTTACATGTATCTATGCTTTAGAAAAAGATGTTTCTCTTAAGAATCAATTTTCACCTCCTTGTTGTGATATTGTTTCTCTGTGAATGCATGACATAGGTATTCGGTATCCTATTTCACATGTGTACTACTACTTTTGATATTTCAATACAGCATTACCCATATTTATACAAATATTTTGTTTCTGTAGGATATATTTCTGGAATTGAAAGGCTGTGTTGAACTTTATTAATATTTAACATTTAATCGATATTGCTAAAGATTGTGCCAGTTATATACCAATCAATATATATTGAGAATCTGGCTTCAATTTTTACATTTAAGTCACAAATCCATATGAAATTTATTCTGGGAATAAGGTACAGATCTAATTATCTTTCTCCTCTAAATCTGGCTCAATGTTTTTATATACTTTACTGGATTAATCTTTTCTTAACTTACCACATATTAAATTTGGCAAGTGCTCTTAGATATATTCAGGCTTTGAATTCTGTTCCACAACTGTTTATTCCTACTCCATTATCACCCTGTGTTTATTTTTCTTGTTTCATGCTTTATTATATGACAGTGCAATTACCCTTTATGAATTCTATTTTCTTGTTTTTTTTCCTCTCAACGAATTTTGGAGTAATTCTGTTTAGTCCCAAACAAGTAAACAAACAACAAAAACAAGCTCTTAAAATACTTTTGGGATTAATACTGGAATTTTACTAAATCTGTGGATTAACTTAGACTGTAGAATACTTTTAGAATACATTATCGAGTTACATTTAAAATAAGACAGAAAAAAAGAAATAATGTTGATTTAATGATGCATATCTCTATATTAGACTATTTTGAACTGTAAATGACAAAAATCAGGTAAAATCCAAGGTTAAGTATGAAAGAGAGTTTATTGGCTCATTTAACTGATAAGTCCAGTGGTAAAACTAGTTTTCAGACATGTCTGTATCTCTGGGTTCAAACAACATCATCAGGACTTGGTCTCTCTGTCTTCCGGCTTAGCTTCTTTAGCTTCAATATTAGACAAACCTCCATGTGGTAGCAAGGGTGGCCTGTCTGCTCTGTGTCTATATGTCTTTAGCACCTGCAATATCACAACATCAGCGGGAGAGAGGTTGGTTTTTGTTTTTAAATAGTGTCAGCAAAAGTACCAATTATGATTTTCATTGGTCAGGTCTCCATCAAGTGTAAAAATGGGGGCAGGGTGGGGAGTTGGGAATCAGCCCCACTTCAACCACATAGGCTAAGGCTGGTGAGTGGTGGTTTCCTGAGAGCAATGTGGAGCAACCAAAAAATCACCATAATATCTATTTATTTATTAGATGGAGTCTCGCTCTGTCACCCAGGCTGGAGTGCAGAGGTGTGATCTCGGCTTACTGCAACTTCCACATCCTGGGTTCAAGTGATTCTCCTGCCTCAGCCTCCTGAGTAGGGAGGATTACAGGTGTCTGTCACCACACTCAGCTAATTTTTATATTTTTAGTAGATGTCAGGTTTCACCATGTTGGCCAGGCTGGTCTTCAACTCCTGACCTAAGGTTATCTGTCTACCTTGACCTCCCAAAGTGCTGGGATTACAGGTGTGAGTCACCACGCCCCACCAATAATATCTGTTTATAAAAAAAAGATTTAAAAGCAACGTTAGGAAATATTGGTAAGTTAAAGTTTTTAAAAAATTTATTTATTTTACTTTAGGTGCATACTATATCTGGCATTTCTCCCCATGTTATCCCTCCCCACCCTCTTCTCCCTCCTCACCCCCCACTGTCTCTCCTCTACCCCACCGCAACTGCCCCCAGTGTTTGATGCTCCTCTCCCTGAGTCCATGTGTTCTCATTGTTCAACACCCGTCTATGAGTGAGAACATGCAGTGTTTGGCTTTCTGTTCTTGTGCCAGTTTGCTGAGAATGATGGTTTCCAGATTCATCCAAGTCCCTACAAAGGACACAAACTCATCGTCTTTTATGGCTGTGTAGTATTCCATGGTGTATATGTGCCACATTTTCTTTGTCCATTCTATCATCAATGGGCATTTGGGTTGGTTCCAGGTCTTTGCTATTGTACACAGGGCTGCAATGAACATACGTGTGCATGTGTCTTTATAGTAGAATGATTTATAGTTATTTGGGTATATACCCAATAATGGAATTGCTGGGTCAAATGAATTTCTGTGTCTAAATCCTTGAGAAATCACCACACTGTCTTCCACAATGGTTGAACTAATTTACACTCCCTAAGTTAAAGTTCTAATACTATTTTTTAGATTATGAAGTTATTTTAGAGCCATAGAGGTGAAAAGAAACCAGGCCATTGGGCAGGAAAACATAATTTTTAGAATTATAATGCTGATTCTTGATGTTACTCTTCCCTCATTTCTTGATCTCATTACTGCTCCAAAATCTTGCTTCACAAATTTATCCTGTTTTGCAGCTTAATCTCACCTTCTATTTTCTTCCTCTGCACCTATGGAACCCCATTCCCTACCTCCCTAAACAAATCAATAAGCCTCTCAATTCTACTGCTTTTTTAAGCTCCTCTTCTTATATTCATCAGCCAATTGTTTAAAGTCATAAATGATTTCCTTAATCATCAAATCCAAGGGCCTTGGATTCTCCTTGATGGCTTCCTGTCTCTCTAGTATTTGACAATACTGGCTGCCCTTTCCTTTTTGAAACCTGGAACCTTAGTTGCTATGAAACGCATTCTCCAGATGTTTCTCTTAGCTTTCTGATGACTTTGTTTACTTTGTTGGTTTCTCTTCCTCATCTTCTTTATATGTGGGTGATTCAAAATTCTGGCTTCAAATTGTTTCACTATTCACTTTTTTTGGCAGTTTCAAATATTGACTTTCAAAAGGGTATACATCTTCTATTTTTTTTTTTTTTTGAGACAGAGTCTCACTCTGCCACCCAGACTGGAGGGCAGTGGCTGCCTCCCATGTTCAAGCGATTCTCTTGCCTCAGCCTCCCATGTAGCTGGGATTACAGGTGTGCACCACCACACCCAGCTAATTTTTGTATTTTTAGTAGAGACAGGGTTTTGTCATGTTGGCCAGGCTGGTCTCAAACTTCTGACCTCAAGTGATCCACCCACCTCAGTCTCCCAAAGTGCTGGGATTACAGATGTGAGCCACTGCACCCGGCTTACATCCTCTATTTAACTGCTTCTGATCAGTTCCTCTCCTAAAACCCATGTGATTGAATCCTAACTGTCTATTATCAAGAAAGACACAGCTTAACTTCTTCTAAAACAATCTTCTCCTTCTGAATCCCATGGTAGTTGTTTTTTTTAAAAATGGCACTACTTTAAAACTTGCATTAGTTACTTATGTGTCTTAGTTTCTGGCCTATAAGCTGCTCCTTCTTTCTTTCCTTCCTTCCTTTTTTCTTTCTCTATTCTCTTCCCCCTCCCCTCCCCTTTCTTTCCTTCCTTCCTTTTTTCTTTCTCTATGCCCCTCCCCTCCCCCTCTCTCGTGCGCTCGCTCGCTCTCTCTCTCTCTCTCTCTCTCTCTCTCTCTCTCTCTCTCTCTCTCTCTCGTCCTTCTTTCCTTTCTTTCTTTCGGATATGGGGCCCTTGCCCTATAAACTTCTTTAAGAAGATTTTCTTCTTTTTAAACTTTTATTTAGGTTTGGGGTATATGTGAATGTTTGTTGTAAAGATTATTTCATCCCCCACGTATTAAGCCTAGTACCCAATAGTTATTTTTTCTCCTCCTCTCCATGCTCCCACCCTTCACCCTCAAGTAGACCCCAGAGTTTCTTGTTCCCTTAAGATTTTCTAATTCAACTCTGCATCTTGCATACTGTAATACACAGTGTTTTGTATTTTTTCATTTAGTTATTCAACATACATAAGCACTGACTGTGTATTGTGCTAGGAGCTGGGTAATGGTGAAAAAAAGTGGTTTCTGCCTTCAGACAGTTGAGAGTCTTGTGAAAATACATATTGTGTTATATAATCAATAAAACTTTAAAGAATGAATCTTACATCTTTAACTCCTTTTTCATCTTCTCTCCCCAAACTCCTGACCTACATTCCTGTACACTTTCCCCTGATAAATCCCACAGATTTCTCAAACCCAACAGCTAAATTGGATTCATGTTCTAAGTTTGCCCCATATTGAAGAAACTCACAATCAAGAACCTTCTCTCCCCAAACCTTCTGCTAATTTTAGTATCAATGCTACTATCTCCTCATTACCAAGGGGAAATCTTGGTATTCTTTTTGATTTCTTCTTTTTTCTTCATATTTAATTCTTTAATTCAAACAATTATCCCTCTTGTTGATGTCCTTTCACCTATAGCAGAGGTTGAAAATTAGTGACCAATGAATTGTATCTAGCCAGTAGAGATGTTTTATTTGTTTTGTATAATATTATCAAAAATATGATTTCCCTGTTTCTCCTGAAAACTGAGAACATTTGGCAACACTGGGTCCTTATCCTTATAATTACAAGAATTGTCTGGAGTTTTAGATAGGACAGCTCAATCAACTCCACCCTTCTAAACTCTATCACTCCTTGTTTTTACCACATCCCATCCATTTCCTCACTTATAAAACTTTCTTAGTCCCTAATTTAGGCATTTGAGTTTGCTGTCTCTGGCCTATATGATCATAGACTATTAGCAGTGGAAGAGATACTAAAAGATCATCTCGTCTAACAGTTTCCTTCCTCTCTCCACTCTTTAAGAGATGGAGAAATGAGGTCTAAAGAACTTACATTACCCAATCAATTTCATACAGCTAATGTGTAACAGGATTTCATAATATGCCATTAGTCCCCCTCCCTCATATGGATTATGTGAAACTTATATTTACCCTTTGGTTTAGTTGTGAGGAACCTCAAAACCCTATTTGTGGCACCCCTCTAGTAATTACATGGACCTTTTGGTATGAAGTTTTGGGGTATTAACATACCTCTGGCTTTATTTTGTTTTTTAGTTACTTTTGCCTCAGTTTCTCTTCCAATTATTTTCTCCTATTATAGTATATATTTTTTCCCCAAGCATACTCTATATTTTGTGAAAGAGGTGGGACATCAATACAGGCATAAACTGTCAGGCTGTATTGTCTGGCTCCCAATTTCTTTCTTTCACCTGTCATTCTCCTCTGGCTACTCACATTCTCTATTTTCCTTGACAGCCAAACTTCTTGAAAGAATTGTCTTCACATGCTGTGTCCACTTTATCCTGTCTTTTCAATTCACTGTAAACAGATTCAAAGTCTTCAATGCCTTCTTTGTTGCTGATATAAATCCCAAAATTATATCATATTCATACGTATATGCAGAACACAAAATGGTTTTCCCTAAATCATCTCAACTATAAAATAATGCAGAGAAAAAAATTAATAGGTAATATATGAAAATTTTGTTCTGGGTAGCTGGATGACTGGTGAGATTTATTTTCTTTTTTAAATTTTCCACAATTTTAAAAACAAGCGCATTAGAACACATCCCGATGTAAATTAGAAATTCTCAACTTACATTTTCTAAAAGAAGACAGAAAACTAGAAAAGCGACAGTGAAGTCACGGGGCCACACTTCATTTCACCTTAAGACTGACTCAGGAAAACGAGAGGGCGACTCAGATCCCCTGGTCCAGCGGCTGGGGCACGGGTCACGACTGGATAACCTCTTGTTAAGATAATCTTAAGAGAGCCCTCACGACCCTTTAGCTCATCCTAAAAGACCTTTGAACATCTCCGCCTCTCCCTAACGGCTCCAAACCGCAGATAACGGTCAATCGCCTCCGGTTGTCCTGGTAACAGCCAGCAAACACAATTCCGCCTCCGTAACTCTTCCCAGAATGCTGTGCGTTTTCTGTCTTCACTTCCAGGTTCCGTGAGCCGATTTCTTCCGGAAGTGTCTGCCTGGAGGTCACCTGGCGTTTTCTGCCTTCGTGGCGTCTTGTTGGGCAGGCTCATGGGGACCCTTTTGTTTCTCACCGTTTAACAGGACTGGAAAGCTAAGCAAAGGCTTTACTCTCACGGAATTTTGGTTGGTCTTTGATAGATGAATTGGACGATAGTTTTTAAAGAGCAGAAGGGTGCATTTGTTAGCTTTCTCTAACCATTCCACAGTGTATACATATTTCAAAACATCATGTTGTATACTATAAATATAATTTTTATCATCTAAAAACAAAAACATTATTAAGTACTAAAATTTGTGGAGTCAGAATGTAGAGATGAATTTTTGAAATTAGAATATTTTATTTGGGAAGAAAATAGTAATTTGGGGCATATGTATAGACTGCGGTGGTTTTCGTCATATCTGAAGAGTGAAGAGGTTAGGTATGTCTTTATACTGTATGCAGATGAAGGTACACATGGCATCCAAAGCCCACTCAGTTATTTAAAGTTTATTTTTCTGATTATAAAGGTAATACATGCTTACTGAGGAACATTAGAAAATTTCAGAAGAATGTAACAAAAAAATTCCAATATCTACACAACCATTGACATTGTGGTATGATTTTTTTTTCTCTCTGTTCCTTCAACAATGAGAATTGAAAGAGTTTTAACTAATTTAGTAAGGATATATTGCAGCTTTTGGTTTGTACTTTTTTGCTTTTGTAGCTGAAGGGTACTGCAAATATTCTACAGGAATAAAGCCACATACCTACAACCAACTGATCTGAGACAAAGACAACAAAAATAAATAATGGGGAAAAGATACTCTATTTAATAAATGGTGCTAGACAAAGTGGATAGACATGCAGAGAAATGAAACTGGATCCCTTTCTCTCACTATATACCAAAATTAACTCAGGATGGATTAGAATTAAATGTAAGACCTGAAACAACAAAAATCCTAGAGGAAAACCTAGAAAAACCTCTGTGGATATTGGCCTAGGCAAAGAATTTATGAGCAACTCCTCAAAAACAAATGCAACAAAAACAAAAACAGACAAATGAATTTCATTAAGCTAAAAATCTTCTGCATAGTAAAATAAATAAATAACCCACAGAATGGAAGAACATATTTGTAAACTGTGCATTCAAGAAAGGACTAATATCCAGAATCTACAAAGAACCAGAAAAAACTAAACCCTATTAAAAAGGGGGCAAAGGACAGGAATAGACATTTCCCAAAAGAAGACATATAAGTGGCCAAAAAACATGATAAAATTCTCAACATCACTAATTATTAGAGAAGTGCAGATTATAACCACGGTGAGATACCATCTCACACCAGTCAGGACTATTATTGAAAAGTCGAAGAACAACAGATACTGATGAAAATTCAGAAAACAGGGATTGCTTATACACTGTTGGTGGGAATGTAAATTAGTACAACCTCTGTAGATACTAGTATGGAGATTTCTCAAAAGAACTAAAAACAGAACTACCATTTGACCCAGCAATCTCACTATGGGTACCCAAAGGAAAACGAATTGTAACTATGTGTAGTGGCTCATGCGTGTAATCCTAGAGCTTTGGGAGGCCGAGGCACGGGGATCACTTGATGCCAGGAGTTTGAGACCAGCCTAAGCAATACAGCAAAACCTCCATCTCTACAAAAAATTAAAATGTTAACCAGACATGATGGTACATGCCAGTAATCCTAGCTACTTGAGAGACTGAGGTGGTAATATTGCTTGAGCCCAAGAGTTCAAGGCTGTGGTGAGCTATGATTACACCACTGCACTCCAGCTGGGTGACAGAGCAAGGTCCTGTCTGTGAAAAAAAAAATCATTATGACAAAAAGACAAAGACATACAATCAACCACCAACCTGAGTGTCCACCAACGGATGGTTAAAATGTGGTATGCATATACCATTTATGCAGCCATAAAAATAATGAAATCGTGTCTTTTGCAGCAACATGGATGGAGCTGGGACCCTTATCCTAGGTAAAATAACTCAGAAGCAGAAAATCAAATACCACATGTTCTCACTTATAAGTGGAAGCTAAACATTGGGTACACATGGACATAGAGGGGAATAATAGACACTGGGGACTACAAAAGTGGGGAGGATGGGAAGGGAAGGGTGAGGGTTGAAAAATTAAATATTGGGTACAATGTTCACTATTTGGGTGACAGGTACACTAGAAGCCCAGATCTCACCACTACACAATGTATTTATATAATAAACCTGCACATGTACACCCTGAATCTATGTATACAAAAAGAAAGCAAGAAAAAAAATCCAAATAGTATTTCAAATGTTTATAGGCTCTGGGCCATTTCTAGGCATAGCTAGCCTTCCTTCAGTATTCCAAACTAATCACACTGTATTGTAATGGCTGAGTTTTCCATATGTGTATGTTTTAGTTCTGTAACTGGATTGAAAGCTAATTGTGTGGTCGTAGACAAATTATTGAATTTTTCTGAGCCCACTTTCTTTATCTGCAAATTAGAGATAATACTTCGCAGGGTTGTAGTGAGGATTAGAAATAATATGTCCAAGGTGAGTTTAATTAAAAAGTAGTTTTTTTTGACTTTTGGCTTTAGCAGTCTATGCACATAGGAGGTGTTTGCATTTTTATAATATTCCAAATGAATGAATATTCTAGCATCAAATGTCCACACTCAATTTAGATATTTATTGAGCATCTATGACACATAAAGCACTGTTTATAACCCCAAAGGCCTGGTGAGTCTATATTATTCAGGTAGGTTTCTTACATAAACCACATGCTGCTCTTCAACTTTAGCAATTTTCTTAGTCATCTGTTTCCTCAGTCTCTTAACACATTGCTTGGCCCATCATAGTAGGTGCTGAATAAATGTGTGAGCTTAGCAGAATAATTTCGTAGGAAAAGAGAAACACACATATTGGATAAAACCTGGCAGGCTATGATGAAAACGATTAACAGGTACAAAGTACTTTGTACACTGGGAGATCAGGAGACATTAATTGTGATGAAGATATTTGGGAATGCCCTGTGGAGTAGGTGTGGATAACCCCCAACATGGGCACTGAGGAAGGAGAGCTGTGCAAACCCCAGGCACAATTAGTGCCTGAAGAATATCTTAGTTTATAGTGTTATTACTCAGCTATTTCCTTTATATATCCTTTATATATAATCATATATTAGCTTATAGGATTAGTGCCTGAAATATAACTTACTGCTTACATATATCTAGCTTATATAATCATACTTAGTACTTACATCTAGCATACTTAGTTCCATAAATCTTTCTATATAATCATATAGGTACTGTAGTTGGAGCTGTACTGACACATTTAGTGCTGATTTCTATAATCCTTCCATATAACCATATAGTAGCTTATAGTAGGAGGAATGCCTAGAGCAGTCACAGGACAGAATCAGTACATGGGAAAACAGCCTGATCAGGACAAGAACCAAAGACCCAAGTGGTGGTGTCCCTGCCTGAAAGGGCATATGGTGTATGGCAGGCTTGGAGCAAGAACCTCTCCTGATAAAGGAGTTGTAGTACCTTGCATCCAGTTCCTGTGGAAAGTAGGCCTCAGGCCTGAGATCCTGCAAATAACGGAGGGAGAAGAACCCCTCTGGTGTGACCAGTCATGGCAGCTGTACAACCTGTCAGTCTTTTCTCTCTTCTGTGCTAGCTCAAATCATTCTCCCATAAATATCTTAAGAGCACAAGTCTGTCAGCTCCCACTGCATTGGCTTACAGTATCTTTCTATTAGAAAACCTTTGAAGTCTCCAGTCCCCAGATAAGAAGTGTTGTGCACAACACCTGTTGCACACAGCCCACCTCCTTGCCTCGGTGACCTAATGGGGGTGGACCCTTTTTCTGTACATGACCCTCTACTACTGTGCAGAGCCCACTTCTCTGCCCAGATGACATAATGGGGTGACCCCCTCGCTTGTGACTCACGTGATTATGTATGCCCTATCACTAAGCCTATAGATGATGACCTCACTTACAACCCTTCCCCCTGCTTCTACCTAATAAATACAGATGCTTCTGAGTGTTCAGGGCCTCGCCTGTCTCCGCTCATAGGTGGCGTGGTCCCCCGAGTCCAGATGCCCTTCACCAGTTCTTCAGTGTCCTATCTCTTTACTTCTCAGATCCTGCACCTCAGCACAGCATAAAGGACACCCTACGACCCTGTGGGGCCAACAGCTCTACAGTAGGCAGATTTGACCTGGGCCCCCAACATAGAGGCTGAGGAAAGGGGTTTAAAGATGGAAATAACAGTATGGTTATACTACTGGCATGCATCATCATGTGTGGTTAACTTTTTAATTTTTTTAGAGATGGAGGTTTTGCTATATTGCTCAGGCTGGTCTCTAACAAATAACAGTTAAAGCTGAGATGTGGAAACAAACAGGGTGCACTTTGTTATTAGTGAGTTATTTGGGGTGGCAGAAGAGTAGGGTAAGTGAATGGGTACAGATGGGCAGAAAAAATACAATTGGTCCTACATTTTGAGGATTTTGATGTGACTTGTCATTCTTTACAGTTTTCAAACGTTTCTGAAAAACACTACTTACTTTTTTTAAATTATGCTTTAAGTTCTGGGGTACATGTGCAGAATGTGCATGTTTGTTACATAGGTATACATGTGCCATGGTGGTTTGCTGCATCCATCAACCCATCATCTACATTAGGTATTTCTCCTAATGCTGTCCCTCCCCTACCCCCGCACCTCACCCCCGACAGGCCCGGGTGTGTGATGTTCCCCTCCCTGTGTCCATATGTTTTCATTGTTCAACTCCCACTTATGAGTGAGAACACGCGGTATTTGGTTCCTTGTTCTTGGAAAAACACTACTTTCAATATGGCCTGAGGCATCCTTGGGCAAAGTGAATCTGAGGGATGGCAGGGGTCCGGAAAGTGGGGGCCAGAGATGACAACTGGCCTGCCCGTGAAGAAGGCAGGGAGTGGGAGGATGGCCGATGCCTTCAGCAGCTGAAGAACACTTAGTGGCCAGTATTCGCCCCGAAGTGAGGAAGGAGTGTCTGCGAGGAGTCGGGACACCCTTAGCAGCTCAACAGGCAGCGGGAGGCTGCAGAACAACCTGTCACCCACACTGGGTGGGCAGTAGCGAAGACCGCTGCAGCCCGGGTGTTGCCTTTAAGGGAAGTCGCAGGACCCAGCTCCGAGCGCCGGCTTCTGGCCCAGCACCGCCCCGCGTTTATCGCCCCGCCCTTCTCTCCCCGCCCCGCGCCCCCTGCCCCGCCCTGCGACCCTCGCCCCGCCCCTCGCCAGTCCCTCCTGCCCCCGTGTTCCCCGTCAGGTTCAAAAGTCCCCTCCCGCCTAACGTTTACCGCCCAGCCTGCTGCCCTTCTTCCCTGCGGAAGGAGGGCCTTCCTGGGCGGTCGGGGGGGCGGGAGGGAGGTTACCTTTCCCTGTCTCTCTGGCCGCCCGAGCTTGGAGGAAGCAGCAGCGCGGTCTGCTGGCGGCATGGCGGGAGCTCCGGATGTGCGCCGGCCAGGCTCCGCGGCAGGGGAGCAGCTGCAGCAGCAACACGTCTCTTGCCAGGTCTTCCCTACGCGTCTGGCCCAGGGGAATCCCCAGCAAGGGTTCCTTTCCAGCTTCTTCACCAGCAACGAGAAGTGCCAGCTTAGGCTCCTGAGGACGCTGGAAACAAGTATGAGCCATGACCTAGAGTGGTGTTCGGCAGAGTGGGTATGAGACCGGGTGGGCGAGGAGAGGCCTGGGCGACACTTGGCCAGAGGCTGCAGCTTCAGCCTCAGGGCTGAATGAGCCGGGTTCAGCACAGACTCTAGGCAGACTGGGCATCATGGGAGCCTGGGCCTCAGTTTCCCCACTAGAGGAGGCGCTGAGATTCTTTTCATCGCTGTTTTTGGCTTGTGGAAAGAGTTTGTCTGCTCTTTTCTGTCACCCACTGTTCTGACGGATCATCCGATTTCTTACATAAGTTATGCAGCTACACTGTGATTTCAGAGTAAGGGTGAGGCAGAGTTTTAAAGAGCCAGCCAGGTTAATAAATACCTACGGCTGGCAGTGCAAAAACAAGTTTTGCAAACCTACCTTTCCTTGGAAAGGGTTCTTAGCCTTCATGCATGAATGGGCTCAGAGCATAGAAATCCCTGAAATGGTCTGTGAATTTGTGTGTGTGTGTATGCCTAAGTGCATTTTTTTGGGGGGGAAGGAGAGAGTTAATGGCTTCATCATATTCTCCAAGAGGCCAATTACCCCAAAAACTTTAAAGACTGCATGGGTTAAACAGGTACACACCTACCCATTGACAGATTACTCTCCAGTCCTATAGACATTGCACTGGAGAAGATTTCTTAATTCCTTCACATTGACGTAGACTTCCTAAGTTTACTTTCAGATACATTTAGAAAATCAGACTTAAATGTACGTGTCCCAAAGCAAGGTTACTATTTTATAGCTGGCCAGTCACAGTTAAAAAATCAACCACCCAAACATTTTACAGCCTTCTTGGGATTACCTGCTTATAGAGACTCAGGGAGGTAGGAGGAGGAAGGGGAATAGAGGGTAAGAGGGGAGAGAATGATGATACTGTGTTTACTGCACAAATATGTATTGAGTGCCTCCCAGGTTCTGGTGGGGGGAAGTACAAATGAGTTAGCACCCCGCTTTGAAGGTGCTTCGATGTGGAAGAAGTGGAAAGAGTATGCGTTGCAGAGTTCGATGTGGGTTCAAATGCCGATCCCTTTCTGCAGGTGTGGAAGAGTGACTTAACTTCTCTGATCCTCACTATCCTAATTGTAAAAAAAGAGAAGTGGAAAAATGCCTCTTTTGGGGTTGTTGTTGTGAATAAATTTTATGGGTCTGGGTACGGTGGCTCATGCCTATAATCCCAGCACTTTGGGAAGCCAAGGCAGGAGGATTGCTTGAGCTCAGATGTTTAAGACCAGCCTGGACAATATAGGGAGAGCCTGTCTCTACAAAAAATAAAAAAATTAGCTGGGTGTGGTGTCTCATGCCTGTATTCCCAGCTATTTGGGAGGCTGAGGCAGGAGATCTGCTTGAGCCCAGGAGGCTGAGGCTGTAGTGAGCTATGATTGCATCACTGCACTCCAGCCTGGGCAACAAAGCGAGACTCTGTCTAAAAAAAAAAAGTATTGATTTTATGAATGTAAAGTACCAGCTTATCAGGAGCTGAGCTGAATAAATGGTAGCTGTTTTTTTTTTTTTTTTTTTTTGAGACGGAGTTTCGCTCTTGTTACCCAGGCTGGAGTGCAATGGCGCAATCTCGGCTCACCGCAACCTCCGCCCCCTGGGTTCAGGCAATTCTCCTGCCTCAGCCTCCTGAGTAGCTGGGATTACAGGCACGAGCCACCGTGCCCAGCTAATTTTTTGTAATTTTTAGTAGAGACGGGTTTCACCATGTTGACCAGGATGGTCTCGATCTGTTGACCTCGTGATCCACCCGTCTCGGCCTCCCAAAGTGCTGGGATTACAGGCTTGAGCCACCGCGCCCGGCTATGGTAGCTGTTTTTACAGTGGAAGGGCCACACAGTAGAGGAAGAGTAGAAATAGACAGGATGTGAGGAAGGTGGGGTGCTGAACTGAACCTCAATAGGAATCAGTGGGCCTTGATCTTCCAAGGGAAGGGTGGCTAAGAGGGCCTGTTGCTGGTATTAAAGTGTCAACCTGCAGCTTTAAAATCCTATCCCTGGGTGGGGCATGGTGGCAGAAACTAGGCCTCATGGGGTACTTTTTTTTTCCACCAAAGCAGATTTATTCTAAATGTTGCTGCAGGTCCTTTTTAAGTACTAAACCACAGTGTTTACAGCATTTTTAAGTACAAGGACTACAGACTTTTGAAACCATTTTAACTTTGTAAAATTCTTTTATTTGCGTGAATAATAATGCGCTTAATATGGTGCCTGCTACCTAGTATTCACTCACTTGTTAACAATAAGTATTCTGCTGTGAACACTCTTGCAAGGGGCAGGTTAGTAAAGCAATAACCTATACCTGCCTTTCTCATCTCACATTTTTTTTTTTAAGACGAAGTCTTACTCCGTCACCCAGGCTGTAGTGCGATGGCACGACCTTGGCTCACTGCAACCTCTGCCTCCCAGGTTCAAGCGATTCTCCTGCCTCAGCCTCCTGAGTAGCTGGGATTACAGGCGTGCACCACCACACCTGGCTAATTTTTGTATATTTAGTAGACATGGGGTTCTACCATGTTGGTCAGGCTGGTTTCGAACTCCTGGTCTCGAACTCTCGAACTCGTGATCCGCCCGCCTTGGCCTTAAAGAGTGCTGGGATTACAGGCGTGAGCCACTGCGCCTGGTCTCTTCTCACATTTCTTTTACTTGCCTGTTTTTGCCTTCAATATTTTTTTTAAACCTTAGTTTCTTTTTCTGTTTTTTGGGGTTACGCCATATTATTTGCTGTGCATTTATACTCTCAGACAAGATGCCTGTGTGAAAAGTTAATATTAGAGACATTTAGGTTCCTTATACTTTCCTGTAGTAGTCACAGGCCCATAGAGTCTTAGATGTGGAAGGGCCCTCAGGAATCATCAAGCCTCCCTGTCCCCTTACAGGAAAACCTCTGTGCCATTGCTGGCCAGATACTCCACAGATCTCTCCTGGAACATAGTTACTTGTTCCTTGAAGCCCTTTCAATCTATTGTCTGTTGTTTCACCAGCTTTAACTGTTGGAGAAAAATCCTTTCTCGTGTTGAGCTGAAATCTGCCACATGTAACTTCCACACTTTGGTCCTTGTTCTGTCCTTTGAAGAAATATTAACTGAATCTAGTCCCACATCCCACCCCTTCAATACTTGAAGCTACTGTGGTCCTATTAAGTCTTCTGTCTCCTTTCCACCCTCCCAAATCCTTTCTTGCTTCTTACTGAAAATAGTCCCGTGGTATCCTAGTCACTATCCCCTGTGGAAGAGCTTCAGTGGCAGGTCCTGTTTAGAGCGTGGTAGTACTCAGCATGGGACATGGTGTTGCCAGCATGGTCTGACCAGGGTAGAGAACAGTGTGGCTACTGGCTTCCTCAAATCTAGGTACTATGCTGTTGTTCGCTTCTAGGAATGTGGCCCTAGATTCCCTCAGCCATTTGGTAATAGATTGTGTTTGATCATTTAACTAAAAATGAACTTTAAAAGCATATTTGATATTGTCTAAGATGCTTAGTAGTACTATCTTGGTATTTGTATTAGTGTTTTATTTCAGTACAAATTTGCTTTGATGTTAATTTAAGCTTGTCCTCTTGTTTCAATTTTTACTAACTTTAAGATAAGATTACTTTTTTTTGAGACAGAGTCTCATTCTATCATCCAGGCTGAAGTGCAGTGGTGTGATTTCAGCTCCTGTAATGTCTGTCTCCCAGGTTCAAGTAATTCTCATGCCTCAGCTTCCCTAGTAGCTAATTTTTGTGTTTTTAGTAGAGACACGGTTTTGCCATTTTGGTCAGGCTGGGCTCGAAACTCCCGGCCTCAAGTGATCTACCCACCTCAACCTCCTAAAGTGTTGGGATTACAGGCATGAGCCACTGTGTCTGGCCTGTGAGTTACTTTTTGATAATATACTGCTATTTGGGTAGTTTAATTGGTGCTACTTTTCCAATTAACTTACTTAATTGACTTAATATCTTTTTTAGATCCATATGTCAAACTTCTGCTTGATGCTATGAAACACTCAGGTTGGTAAGTGACTCTTTTTCAAGTGCTGCTCTGCAGTCTGGCTGCTGAAAACAAAAACCAATTTCTCTTTTTTTTTGAGTCAGAGTCTCATTCTGTCGCCCAGGCTGGAGTGCCGTGGTGCAATCATCTTGGCTCACTGCAATATCTGTCCCCTGGGTTCAAGCAGTTCTCCTGCCTTAGCCTCCCAAGTAACTGGGATTACAGGTGCCTGCCACCGTACCCGGCTAAGTTTTATATTTTTAGTAGAGATGGGGTTTCAACATCTTGGCCAGGCTGGCCTTGAACTCCTGACCTTGTGATCGACCTGCCTCGGCCTCCCAAAGTGCTGGGCTTACAGGTGTGAGCCACTGCACCTGGCCCTCTTTTTAAGAGAACTACTTAAAATTTCTCTGAGGTCATGAAGTCTTTTCCATAGGGTAAATGGAGGTAATTGGCTGCATTGTCTCCAGGCAAGTCTTGTTCTCTTTGGACGTCTTCTGCCCTAACTCATCTTCTCTTTTTTTGAGACAGAGTCTCGCTCTTGTTGCCCAGGCAGGAGTGCAGTAGTGCTGTCTCGACTCAGTGCAACCTCTGCCTCTCAGGTTCAAGCAGTTCTCTTGCCTCAGCCTTCTGAGTAGCTGGGTTTACAGGCATACACCACCATACCCAGCTAATTTTTGTATTTTTAGTAGAGATGGGGTCTCACCGTGTTGACCAGACTGGCCTTGAACTCCTGTCCTCATGTGATCCACCTGGCCTTAGTCTCCCAAAGTGCTGGGATTACAGGTGTGAGCCACTGTGCCAGCCCAACTCATTTTCTAGCTTTTACCATTCACCCTATTAGTAAAGACAGTACTCAAAATTTTCTTGTAAGTAATTACCAATCCTGACCTTTCTGCTATAGCAGCCTGAGCATTGTTTTTAATGGAGAAAACATCTCAGCTTGTTATGTGGGAACCTTGCAGACATTGTATAACTTTGAGGGGCTTAAAGGAAGTCACTTTTGACATCCAGTTCTTAACATTCGGGCCCAAGGGCAGGAACTCCAGCGTACTTGCAATATGGTCATAATCAGTTGAACAAATACTTTGTGGAATCATATCTATAGAATTTGAACTAGGATGGATTTTACATACAATCTCCTTATTTTTTTTTTTTTTTTGAGTCAGAGTCTCTGTCCCCAGGTGCTAGGCTAGAGTGCAGTGCAGTGGTACGATCTTGGCTCACTGCAACCTCTGCCTCCCGGGTTCAAGCAATTCTGCCTCAGCCTCTCAAGTAGCTGGGACTACAGGTGCACGCCACCATGCCCAGCTAATTTTCTTTGTATTTTTAGTAGAGACGGAGTTTCACCATTGGCCAGGATGGTCTCGATCTCTTGACCTTGTGATCCACCTGCCTTGGCCTCCCAAAGTGCTGGGATTACAGGCGTGAGGCACCGCGACTGGCCTACAATCTTCTTATTTTACAGATGAGATAACTGAGTCCTGAAGGTGTTAAGTTTCTTTCCCAAGGTTCTCTATGTGTTAGTGGTGGAGGGTCTCCTGAGTCCTGGCCCAGGACTGTTTGCCACCTACACACTGCTTCTTGACATTGTCTCTTTAATCTGTTCTTGCCTTCTAGTGCTGTTAACAAAGATAGACACTTTTCTTGCGAAGACTGTAATGGGAATGTCAGTGGAGGTTTTGATGCTTCAACGTCTCAGGTAGGCATTATTGCCAAATTGTTTCCTTCCTTTTAACCCTCTCTCCTGGTATTTTTTGAGCATCGTCCACATGCTCAGCATTCTGTTTGGTAGATTTTGTGTAGGACTAAAAAAATGAATTAGTTATTCTTACTCTAAGAAGTTTACTCTTAAAATCTCTTAAGGAGTTTACAGCCTCACAGGGAAGATAAGACATGAACACAGATAATTATAAAATGAGGCAGGCTAAACCATTTTAGATGGGTTTGGTTACAATGGGACAGTGACGTGATTGATTGAAAGGTACCAACTGATTCGACTGAAGATGTTAAAGCTTCCTTAGGGGAAGAGCAGGGGTAGCGTGAGCAAAAGTGCATGCTAGGAAACTGCACGGCATGTGTAGGGAATGGCATATTGTCTCTTTTATCTGGAGGGCAGGAACATATGGGAATAAGGGAAAATAGGATTGGAAAGAATTGTTAGCCATATGGTGGGAGTCTTTGAGTGCTAAACGAAAGGGTTTTACCTTTATATGGTGATAGTGCTTGTGAAAATTTTTATTAGGGGAATTTTCTTATCTGTATAACATGGGCAATAAATGTATCTATTTTACGAAATGATTATGAGAATTAAATGAGATATCTCTTACAGAGTTGCTTATCTTAGTGCCTGGCCCATAGTAAGCATTCAATAAATTTTATTGTTAGTTTTAAGTCGTCAGAGGGTTTCCGACAGAGTCTTGGAGGTGGTAGATAATGTCATGTGATGAGGGTGGTGTTATAAGTAACTGTTTCACACTTTAATATATAATTCATACTTAACTATATTTACCTGTTTCCTGCTGGAGAATTTTATATGTATTTAGGTTATTGATAACTTTTTTATAGTAAACATGGGAAGTGGCAATATAGAAGAGGAATGAGAAGTCTAGATTTTGGAGTCAGATTTGATTTCAAACCTAGTTTCCCTGCTTATTATCTGTGGGGCTTGGGCAAGTTATTTTTCTTCTTCTTGAGAAGAAAATGTGCTAGCCTTTCCTCATTTGTAAACTGGTAATCACAATACCTATAGCCCTCAAAATGGCTCTGAATAAGTTCCCGTCCCCCCAGCGTTAAATAGAGTGTACCTCTTGAACTTTCATCGTAATTTTCAGCAGTGTTGAAGATAGTTGGACACCCTCTCCTTTAATTTTTTAAAATTTTTTGTTTTTTAAATTATTATTTTTTGAGATGGAGTCTTGCTCTGTTGCCAGGCTGGCGTTCAGTGGCGTGATCTTGGCTCACTGCAACGTCTACCTCCCAGTTCGAGCGATTCCCCTGCCTCAACCTACCAAGTAGCTGGGACTACAGGTACATGCCACCACACCTGGCTAATTTTTTGTATATTAGTAGAGATGGGGTCTCACCATGTTGGCCAGGATGGTCTCAATCTCCTGACCTCATGATCTGCCCATCTTGGCCTCCCAAAGTGCTGGGATTACAGGCGTGAGTCACTGTGCCCGGCTATTATTTTTGAGACAGGGTTTCACTTTCTCACCCAGTCTGGAGTACAGTGGCACGATCTGGGTTCACTGCAACCTCTGCTTCCTGGGTTCAAGTGATTCTCCTGCCTCAGCCTCCCAGATAGCTGGGGTTACAGGCATGCACCACCATGCCTGGCTAATTTTTGTATTTTTTTTTTTGGGACGGAGTTTCGCTCTTGTTACCCAGGCTACGGTGCAATGGCGTGATCTCGGCTCATTGCAACCTCCACCTCCTGGGTTCAGGCAATTCTCCTCCCTCAGCCTCCTGAGTAGCTGGGATTACAGGCATGTGCCACCGTGCCCAGCTAATTTTTTGTATTTTTAGTAGAGACGGGGTTTCACCATATTGACCAGGATGGTCTCGATCTCTTGACTTCGTGATCCACCCGCCTAGGCCTCCCAAAGTGCTGGGATTACAGGCGTGAGCCACCGTGCCCGGCCAATTTTTGTATTTTTAGTAGAGATAGGGTTTGCCATGTTGGCCAGGCTGGTCTCAAACTGCTGACCTCAGGTGATCCACCCGCCTCAGCCTCCCAAACTGTTAGGATTACAGGTGTGAGCCACTGCACCTCGCCTATTTTTTAAATGAAGATTTTCATTGTGAAGTATCTCACTCATACAGAAGGATAAAAAAACCTATATGTACACTTTCAGTAATAAGAAAGTGCACACATCTGTAACTGCCACCCAGATTAGAGAAAAAGAACATTACCAGGACTTCAGAAGCCTGTGTGTTCCTCTTGAATCAGGTTGTTTTCTCTTCCTTATCCTGACTTTTGTGGTAACCATTCCCTGTTTTCCTAAATGGCTTTACCATCTCCATATACAGTCCAACAATGTGTTACTTAGTTGCCTGCTTTTAGCTTTATGCATGGAATACTCTGAGTTTCATGTAGTATTTTGTAGTATTATGAAATCGTACAGTAGATAGTCTCCAACTTACTTCCCACGTTCAACATTTGTGAGATTCTTTCATGTCGTTGTGTGTACCTCTCTGGTTTATTTAGTTTTCCTGTTATATCGTATTTATTTCATTGTGTGTTTATACTATAGTTTATTCTAATATTGATTGTTTCCAACTTTATTATTTTGAACAATGCTGCTATGAATATTCTTGACTCTCGCTACTGGTGCACATTTGTAAGAGTTTCTCCAAGGTATACGCCCAAGAGGCAGAATTACTGGGTCATAGAGTGTATGTACACTTGACTTCGCCTGTTAATGCCAAACATTTTCTCTCTGTGGTTTCTAGAATACAGCACTCTTCTGGTTACTTCTTTGCTAGCTTACCTTCTTCTATCAGCGCTTAAATATCAAAGTCCCTCAATCCTTGGTTATAGGGCCCCTTCTTTTCTTACTCTGTTCTCCGCCAAGGAGGTCTCATTAATTTTCTGGGGTCAAAGCTCACTTTTTAGAACTACACATTCCATATGTCCAAGTGCCCATTTAACACCTCTACTTGAGTGTCTTTTTATTTATTTATTTTTATTTTTAATGAAAAAGAATTTTTTTGGAACAGGATCTTGCCCTGTTGCCTAGGCTGGAGTGCAGTGGTGCAATCATGGCTCACTGCAGCCTTGAACTCTTGGGCTCAAGTGATCCTCCCATCTCAGCCTTCTGAGTAGTTGGGACTGCGGACGTGAATCACTGCATGTGGCTAACTTTTTAAATTTTTTGTAGAGATGAGGTCTCACTGTGTTGCCCAGGCTGGTCTTGAACTCCTGGCCTCAAACGATCCTTCTACCTCAGCCTCCCAAAGTGCTAGGATTACAAGTGAGAGCCACTGCTTAAGCGTCTTAAAGACACTTTAGATTTGAAATGTCTAAGTCCAAATTCATGATTTTTACCATCCCCTATCCCCACCCAACCCAGTCTTCTAGTTTTGCATATCTCAGTGGATGGTGCTACCGTCAATCCTATTAGCCAAGCCAGAAATTTATGGATCATCGTTGATATCCCTGATTCCTTCCCCATATTCTATCACTATATTTTATCTGATTTACCTCCTAAGTATCTCTTTCAACTTCCACCAGTCTAGCTGAAGTACTGTTCTCATTGCCTAGAATATTAGCCTTCAGCTAATTTCTCTGCATCCAGTTTTGGCCATCTCCTGCCTGTTCTTCCAACTATAGTTAAAAGGATAAAAGCAAAATAAAACAAAAGCAGTCTTCTGTTTCAGCATTTCCTTTATCCTGAGAACTTCCCAGTGCTCTTAGGGTAAAGACGAGGTCTTCAGGGAGTTGGCCCCCCGACCTCACCAGCTGTATCTGTTGCCTACCCCCCGCCACTGCTGTGCTTCAACTCTAGGGCTCTCCTTTTAGCTTCTCAAGAATTTTCTTCCTTCAACCCTCCCTCTACCCTTTGCATAGGTTTTTCTTTCCACCTAGAATACTCCCTTCTTCTCTGCACCTCAAATTTCATTTCTGTTCATTCATTAGATACCAGTTCAACTATTCCTTCCACAGAGAAGCCTTTCTTTACCTCCAGACCAGGTCAGGGATTCTTTCTTTCTTTCTTTTTTTTTTGAGACAGGGTCTCCCTTTGTTGCCCAGGCCAGAGTGTGCAGTGTCATGTTCCTGGCTCACTGCAGTGCCAACCTCCTGGGCTCAAGTGATTCTCCTACCTCGGTCTCCCCAGTAGCTGGGACTATAGGCATGTGACACCACATCTGGCTAATTTTTATTTTTAATTTTAGTTTTTGATAGAGATGGGATTTTGCTATATTGCCCAGGCTGGTCTTGAACTCCTGGGCTCCATCAGTCTGCCTGCCTCAGCCTCTCAAAGTGTTGCGATTACAGCCTATTACATTATATATGCTCATGACAACCTGGGCTTTTCTTCATGACAGCTGTCATTGCATGTATTTAAACATTTTGGTAAATATTTTGTTAATTGCTATCTTCATCAATGGATTATAAATCTATTATTAGGTCTCAGTAAGTATTAGTTGAATCAATGATGTTGAATGAATGTATATAAATATATAAATATCTGGGACATATCCCGGCGTCTGGCAGTAGTACCTATTAAATGGCAGCTATTACTATTGGGATCCCTCGTGTCTTGCTAATTTTTTTAGGGTCCTGCTCAGGGTGCTGTTGGCTTTTTGCACTTCTTTCTGAGGGTCTTTCTGAGGACTTTTCCCTAGCATTTTTCCTCATTCTAGTAAAATGAAGACAGTGGTGGTCATTCCTTGTTCATTCAATGCTCATTCAGAAACTCGATTTACAATATTTACAATATTGTAAAAAATTAGAATACAATAAAAAATTAGAAGTATTTACAATATATTCTAATTTAATTCTCACAGTTCTATGTGGTAGGTATTCTATCTCCTTTTTATAGTTGAGGAAACAGGTACAGAGAGATTAAGAAACTTGCCCAAGGTCACTGAGTTAGTAAGGGCTGGAGCTGGAATTTGAATTTGTCGGCTTCATTCCAAAGCCCAATCTCTTAACTGTAATGCTGTGGAGTCTGAGATAGACTAGTGTCATCAGCTCAGGATGGTGCGTGAATACATGTCCTCAATCTAAGTACTATTGTAGTCCAGAGAGAAGAGAAGAGAGAAGTTAGTCATTGGGTGAGGCAAATGGAGCATGTACAGTTAGGACTGGGACTTGTCCAGTGGGTAGACGTGCTGTCAATGGAGAGGAGTGTGGGTGGAAGCATTCCAGGCAGGTGAATTCCCTCACTTCTGGGGAGAAGGGATGTCAGTGGGAGAGAAGATTGAGTCTATGAAAGGAGATTTTAGAAATCACTGAATTTCCCTTATTTGGTGTCTCCTAGATAGTTTTGTGCCAGAATAATATCCGTAATCAGGCCCATATGAACAGAGTGGTCACCCACGAGCTCATTCATGCATTTGATCATTGTCGTGCCCATGTCGATTGGTTCACCAACCTCAGACACTTGGCGTGCTCAGAGGTGAGTTTTATTGTATGAGTTTTATTGCATTTTTCCCCAGAACCCTCTATGCGTGAATATTTTATTCAAGTGTGATTTATTTAAATGTATTCCTCTACCTTAGTCTTGAATTTCTGTTTTTAATTATCATTGAATAAACAGCTAGAGGAATTTAAAGTGTATTTTTAGAATTCTCTTAACTATATTATTTAAGTCCTAATAATAGTGATGACTGACTTTAATAAGCTATTAATTTTTTCCTATTGAATATGTTTTATAATATGAAAAAATAATAATTAACATTTACTGAGGGCTGTGCTCCAAATAGTGTTCTGTTTGCATAGGTTCTTATTTAATCTTCACAATAACGCACTTAGATAGGTATTATACTATTATTGTCCCTGTTTTATGTATGTGGAAAGTGAGACAGTTGTTTAGATTCCAAAGTTCATAAGTAGCAGAGGCAGGATTACAACCAGTGTTTTTAACTGGCTTGCCTGGTTGCCTTCCATAGAGCTCCTTGCTTGCCCTAGAGTAAAACATGCTCATCTCCAAAATACAGCATAAAAAGGTATTTATTACTAAGCACGTTGGATTGCTCTTGGAATATGGTCCTAGAGAGAGCATATTCTGCATATACATATACTTGCTTGTCATTAATTGAAGAATTCATTAAAATAATCTAAATCTCAAGCCTATACTTTATAACTTAGATTATTTTCCCTTTCTCTTTTTTTTTTTTGAGACGGAGTTTTGCTGTTGTTACCCAGGCTGGAGTGCAATGGCACGATGTTGGCTCACCGCAACCTCTGCCTCCTGGGTTCAGGCAATCTCCTGCCTCAGCCTCCTGAGTAGCTGGGATTAGAGGCATGCACCACCATACCCAGCTAATTTTTTGTATTTTTAGTAGAGACGGGGTTTCACCATGTTGGCCAGGATGGTCTCGATCTCTTGACCTTGTGATCCACCCGCCTCGGCCTCCCAAAGTGCTGGGATTACAGGCGTGAGCGACTGCGCCCAGCTATTTTCCCTTTCTCTTGAAATTAATATATAGCCCTCCTGCATCTAATTATAATTCCAATTATTTGGAGAATAGACTGAAACTTGAGTTTTTAAATAGATCTCTCTCTTGAGTGCTATGAAAATTAATTCCTTTTAACTAGTTAAAGTGTATTAAGTACTTTGAGCTCCTCAGAGGAATGTGGCCGTAATATTGTAGAAGGAACAAGAAGTGGGCCATTCTCTTTGTGATGAATTAGTAAAAAATGTGGTCAGGCTGCCTGTAGAATCTATGTGGGTAGTTCTTAGACTTTTTCATCCTTTGAAGTATAGTAAATCTGAAAATGTGTGCTAATTTCCGGCTGTCATGCTCATAGCATGATCAGTTTGGAATGTTCTTGATTCCTTGTGTTTTGTGTTGCTTCATTTTTCACAGGACAATCAAGTCCCTAGAGGAAGGTCATGAACTTACACTGGTTGGAGGGAAGTTCCAAGAGCGGTTGGGGCTAGGGTTGGGAGGGCCATGTGCTCCAAGTGTCTCAGATATTAATGCATTCAATTTGAAGCTCATGCTGAACCTGTTTATTTCAAGATGCATTCTTGAAGTACTTTTGTTAATTTCTACAAGTATTTCTATCTTGTTGAGTGTGTATATTTTAACTCTGAGGTCTAGCTCTCTGACTTTTGGTCCCAGAAGAAATTAGTTCTGTCAGGAAAGCTACAGCATGAAATTGAGAAAATTTCCTTTGGTAGGCGATTCAACTTTTCCCCATCTCTACCGCATATTTGGCATTGTCTAGCGTAGCTCATAGATATCTGTTCTTGTCAATAGAGTTTAAAAGTTCTTTAAGAAAAGGTCTTACAAATACTCTTTTCTCAGACAAAGATGCAAATTTTATATTCTTTTCTAATTTTAAAACATAGGTTGATATCATAAAGATATATAGAACACGAGCGTTTATTTTCTTTTTCTTTGTCTTCTGTTTGATAGGTTCGAGCTGCTAACCTTAGTGGAGACTGCTCACTTGTAAATGAAATATTCAGGTTCCATTTTGGATTAAAACAACACCACCAGGTAAAAACTAACATGAAATCACCTACTCTCCAGAGTGTTACGAGTGGAAATAATGAAAAAAGAAAGGAGAAGTACATTTAGTATTTGAAATTTGAAAGAACTTCCTATATGAAAAGAATACAAAGTATGTACCATTTAAACAAAGTAGATGGAATTTAGTTCTACTTTAAAATTATGGGCAAGCTATGTGAGTCAATGAGTGTGTGAGAGATTTTAATAATGAAAGGGGCTAAGATCTTGTACCTGGGATACTTTTTGATGGGGGTGGATAAGGAATGGAATTGAAATCACAGCCTGTCTTACTGTAATGCTAGCAACTCTTGACTTCTGTTTTCTACCATAGCATTCTGGAGACAAAAAGTGTTATCCCTTTCAGAACAGAGAGTGTGTTGTTGCACAGGTTATGGCTATGTCTCAGTGCACCTGTAAAGGCTATATAATGTGACAGAAAACCTTTGGCTTGGTGCAGACTTGACTATGATGAGCTTAGCTGAGAAGGGTTTGTGTAAGCAAAACAAAAACAAAAAGCAAAAGAGGTAGCTATAAGGCAAGATTATCCTGCTAGAAAGGCTTTGAGATCTGTATTTGATGGATGTGGGGAGAGGAAGTATAGAACTTATGGATTGATACCGAATGTGAGCAGTTCTGCCCAATGTCCATGCTTAGGAGAAAGGCTGGTCAGTGATTTTCTACAGTAAGAGCCTGCTGAGCCGGTTTGTGAAGTATGTGAACATCAGGCTATCAGTTCCAACTAGATGAAAAATGATAGGCTTGGAACGACAGGAAAGCCCTTGGTATTTTGGAAAAGAGAGTAACTCAACTCTGGGGTGGAGGTTGGAAAGTCACAGTGAGCTACTCAGAGAAATTGTGAACTTAGTGAATGGGAGCGAGAAGAAAAGCCTGCTGCCTGGGAAGGGTGATTACTCTGGACAGTGAGGTATTCAGCCTGTGCCAGGTCAGCTTAGTGATATGCCACTGACTTGTCTTGTGCTGCATGTTTTCTGTGCCCTTGAGTTCCTGCTTCTCTAGTGAATTCTGTGTTCTGGCTCTCAGTGGAGAGGGTGGAAGTGGGGTACACATCAGCACGCCCCTAGAGAAGAGAATAATGTGGTTAAAGCATGTGCTGGCATAGCTCATGGATATCTGCTCTTGTCAGTAGAGTTTGAAATTTTTTATTTTTTTGAGATGGAGTCTCTTTGTTGCCCAGGCTGGAGTGCAATGGTGCGATCTCAGTTCACTGCAACCTCCGCCTCCTGGGTTCAAAAGATTCTCTTGCCTCAGCCTCTCGAGTAGATGAGATTACAGGCATGTGCCACCATGCCTGGCTAATATTGTATTGTTTTTAGTAGATATAGAGTTTCTCCATATTGGCGAGGCTGGTCTTGAACTTCTGACCTCAGGTGATCTGCCTGCCTTGGCCTCCCAAAGTGCTGGGATTACAGGCATGAGCCACTGCACCTGGCGAAAAATTCCTTTAAAAAAAAGTTGTATGTATACTCTATTTTCAGAAAAATATGCTAATTTTACATTATTTCCCAATTTAAAAAATGTTAGTTGATATAATAAGGAAATAGAGCATGAATTTTTTTTCATTCATCTGTCTTTGTGATGGGTTTGAGATACACACAGTCTTTAAAAGAGAAGCTTTTTCCTTTTTACTGCTGGGTAGCAGCAGCAGAAAACAAATAGAAATAGCAATTGAACAGAAAATATGTGGAGGTAGTAGGAATGTGGCTGAGGAGGTCTTAGAGAATCGAGTTCCTGCCTTTGTATAGCATGTACCCAGAGAATAGAAACAGCAAGTAAAGTTACCAATTGTAAAATTGCACAGTCATACCTTTATTTTGACAGAAATGTATTATATATGAAAAGAAGTAAATCTGTGGTCTACACTTGTGTTTCCTAACCCTGTGGCTTCAGAAGACAAATTTTTGGTATCTTTTTATCTTTGAAGTGGAGAAATTTCTTCTCTTTCTAGCAATTGTTGTTTTGGCTTCAAATGGTTCTTCCTTTCCTTATTCCTTTATGCCTGGGGTGTATTTTTTTTAAAAATCAGTGTTTAGTGAAATTTAGGTTGAGAAACACTATATTCCAACATTAGTAAGTATCTCTAGCTTGAGCACACTGGCCAGGCCAAAGAAAAACTGGGAACATGCAGAGAAAATGGATGATTGTCAGGATGCACAGCCATCCAAACCAGTGTTTGGTTATTTTTAGGAAAAGGTCAAATGCCATTCTTCTTAGTTTTAGTTTGGGCCTGGGGAGAAATAAATGGATTAAAAGCTCTCCAAGAATTGGAATGGCAGGGCCTTATATTTATTAAATATTTAAATTAGAGTATTGAGAAATTCTAGTCTATTACTATGAAACATTAGATAAATTATTATTTTAGAAACAGAACTTTATTTTTTACTTTTTTTAAAACGAGACAGGGTTTCACCATTTGGCCAGGCTGGTCTCGAACTCCTGACCTCAGGTAATCTGCCTGCCTTGGCCTCCCAAAGTGCTGGGATTACAGGCATGAGCCATTGCACCTGGCAGAAACAGAACTTTAATATCTGTGTAAAGAACAGTCAGGAAAAAAAGTTGTTTAATTCTCCCCGCCCAAAACATAAAGATACTTTCCAGGTTTGGTTGGATATGTGTATGGTTTCCTGTTGCCTCTAGAGAAGACTGCCCTTCTCAAAGGAAAAGTTATCTAGCATTGGTCAACTGAAAAGAAAGAGGGTACAGAAGTGAAGTATATTTTAAATTTATTTATGAAAAACGTCAGTCAGAACCTTATAGACCTTTACTTTTGGCGATTTTGCAACTGGGAGATACTGTTAGGCAGACACTACCTCAAATTTCTGAGAATGACATCTGCTTATATTAGTGGGAAAGATGAGAAAATAGAGAGGGTCTTACTTATGCCTAAATAATTTTAGATTGAGCTAAAAATTCTCCTTAAGAGTTATGTATCTTGTTTTCTTCTTTGGAATGACAGAAATCAGTAAAATAGTATGAGAGGAAATTAATTTTATCAGACATTAAATAAAATGTATTATTTCATGATTAAATGTTTATATAAAATTAAAGCCTCATACTGTTCTTTCCTTTTAGACTTGTGTACGAGACAGAGCTACTCTTTCTATCCTGGCTGTTAGGAATATCAGCAAAGAAGTAGCTAAAAATGCTGTTGATGAAGTTTTTGAATCTTGTTTCAATGACTATGAACCTTTTGGAAGGATCCCACATAACAAGACTTATGCAAGATACGCTCATAGAGACTTTCAAAACCGTGATCGGTATTATTCAAATATATGAGCACAATGACATTTTATAAATACAGAACTTCCATCATCATGAAGAAAAAAAAATTTGGTTCTCAAGTGAACAAACATAAAATGTAAACAATCTATTCAATCCAGATAAAACAGAGAAGACTGTGATTCTAGCATACCATCAGAAAAAGCAACTATGGCAAAAAGTGAAATTGCTTTAAACTCCAAGGCAAACATTTTGTCTTTATAGCTAACCATTTAGTAAATACATAAATTACATTTTTGTATTTTAGTGATTTGTTTTTATTACATGTGATTATTTTAAAATTTGATTATGAAACCTGGGAAGTGTGCTCTTCCATGATGTTGATAGGTGACCACTATTGGTGTTTATGTTAAATGTAAAGAAATGTACACTGATCTCATTGTAGGACAGTTGTTGTTATAATGAAAGTTGGAAATAATTCATTCAGTGTCAATGTCATCCTCTCCCTATTCTTCTTTTATCATAGATGTGGGATCCACATAGCTTAATTTTTCGGGGACAGTCCTGGTTAGATTTTTTTTTCTTTTTAATAAAGGTGGTGCTCGAATTTTAGCTCCAGATTGACTGCAAGAACAAACCAGCAATACTGAGACAACTCACAGACCCTCTGAAGGAGTAGACTGCTCCTGCGGTACCCAGGAGCACCCCGAATACTGTGAGTGCCCCACTGCAGAAGTGGGAGAGGGAGACCCTCCTTTCCTGAATACACACCCCCACTGGAAAAACTGAAGTTTTGTTTGTGAGATAAATTTCTGACCTTATCTGGAGCTGAGTCACTTTAGAGAGCTGAGTGAAATACAGGGGTAGAGGAAGCAGCAGAAAGGCCCTGGGCGCTTGCTGGGTCCCCAAGCAGCCATTTCTGCTTGGCACCACAGAGATCCATTGTGAGGGCAGCCAGAGGAGCAGGGGTAAAACTCCACAGGGAGGAGGAAATCTCTAGCTGAACTTTTTAACAATTTGAATGGAATGAGAAGCCTCCTGGCCAGAACTCAGGGGAGGTGCAAATTCGGTGTGCAGAATCCACAGGTGGGGAAGAACCAAACCCTTTTCTTTCACAATTGGGTGGCAGGTAGCCTGGGGCAAATTTTCAAGCCTGATTCGCCCACCCCCTGCAAACTGACTTGGGGCTGGGGTGGGTGGGTGGCATGGCGGGAGTGAGACTGGCCCTTCGGTTTGCATGGGAACTTAGTGAGACCTGTGACTGCCAGCTTTGCCCCATTTCCCTGACAACCTGCATGACTCAGCAGAGACGGCCATAATCCTCCTAGATACACAACTCTAGTGACTTGGGCATCTTACCCCCAGCCCCCACAGCAGTCACAGCAGGACCCGCCCAAGGAGAGTCTGAGCTGAGACACACCTAGCCCTGCCCCAACCTGATGTTTCTTCCTTACCCACCCTGGTATCTGAACACAAAGGACATGTAATCTTGGGAGTTCTAGAGCCCTGCCCACCACAACCTCTTCACACTTCCACAACTGACGCTCTCTGGAAAGCGCCACCTCCTGGCAGAAGGCCAACCAGCACAAAAATAGAGCATTAAACTACCAAAGCCAAGAACCCTCATGGAATCCATTGCACCCTGCTGCCACCTCCACTGGAACATGCACTGGTATCCATGGCTGAGAGACCCATAGATGGTTCACATCACAGAATTCTGTGCAGACAGCACTCAGTACCAGCCCAGAGCTGGATAGAATTGCTGAGTGGCTAGACCCAGAAGAGAGACAACAATCACAGCAGTTTGGCTCACAGGAAGCCACATCCATAGGAAAAGGGGGCGGGTACTACATCAAGGGAACACTCCATAGGATAAAAGAATCTGAACAGTGACCTTCAGCACTAGACCCTACTCAAATGAGTAGGAGCCAGAAAACTAACCAATAAGACAAAACAAAAGTTCTTTGTAATAAGACAAAAAAAAGTTCTTTAACACCCACAAAAAAAATCACAGTAGTTCACCAGCAATGGATTCAAACCAAGAAGAAATCCCCAATTTACCTGAAAAAGAATTCAGAAGGTTAGTTATTAAGCTAATCAGGGAGGCACCAGAGAACGGCAAAGCCCAATGCAAGGAAATCCAAAAAATGATACAAGAAGTGAAGGGGAAAATATTCAGGGAAATAGAGAGCTTAAAGAAAAAAACAGTAAAAAATTCAGGAAACTTTGGATGCACTTTTAGAAATGTGAAATGATCTGGAAAGTCTGAGCAATAGAATTGAACAAGTAGAAGAAAGAAATTCATAGCTTGAAGACAAGGTCTTCAAATTAACCCAGTCCAACAAAGACAGAAAAAAGAATAAGAAAATATGAATGAAGCCTTGAACAAGTCTGGGATTATGTTAAATGACTAAACCTAAGAATAATCAGTGTTCCTCAGGAAGACAAGAATTCTGAAAGCTTGGAAAACATATCTGGGGAAATAATTGAGGAAAGCATCTCTTGCCTTGTGAGAGACCTAGACATCCAAGTACAAGAAGCACAAAGAACACCTGGGAAATTAATCACAAAAAGATTATTGTCTAGGCACATAGTCATTATGTTATTCAAAATTAACAAAAAGGAAAGAATCTTAAGAGCTGTAAGACTATAGCATGAGGTAACCTATAAAGGAAAACCTATCAGATGAATAGCAGATTTCTCAGTAGAAACCCTACAAGCAGAAGGGATTCTGGCCTTATCCTTAGCCTCCTCAAACAAAACAATTATCAGCTAAGGATTTTGTATCCAGCGAAACTAAGCATCATATATGAAAGAAAGATACAGTCTTTTCTGACAAACAAATGCTGAGAGAATTTGCCACTACCAAGCCACCACTACAAGAACTGCTAAAAGGAATTCTAAATCTTGAAACAAATCCTGGAAACACAACACATCAAAACAGAACCTCTTTAAAGCATAAGTCACATGGGACCCATAAAACAAAAGTACAAGTTAAAAAGCGAAAGCAAAACAAAAACAAAAATCACCCCAAAATACACAGGCAACAAAGAGCATGATGAATGCAATGGTACCTCACATTTCAGTTGTGACATTGAATGTAAATGGCTTAAATGCTTTACCTAAAAGACAAAGAACTGCAGAATGGATAAGAACTCACCAATTATCTGCTGCCTTCAGGAGACTCAACTAACAAGTAAGGACTCACATAAAACTTAAAAGGAGTTGAAAAAAGGATTTTATGCAAATGGACACCAAAAGTGGGCAGGGGTAGCTATTCTTAGACAAAACAAACTTTAAAACAACAGCAGGGGCCGGGCGCGGTGGCTCAAGCCTGTAATCCCAGCATTTTGGGAGGCCGAGGCGGGTGGATCACCAGGTCAAGAGATCAAGACCATCCTGGTCAACATGGTGAAACGCTGTCTCTACTAAAAATACAAAAAATTACCTGGGCACGGTGGCACGTGCCTGTAATCCCAGCTACTCAGGAGGTTGAGGCAGGAGAATTGCCTGAACCCAGGAGGCGGAGGTTGCAGTGAGCCGAGATCGCGCCATTGCACTCTAGCCTGGGTAACGAGCGAAACTCCGTCTCAAAAACAAAAAAAACCAAAAAAAAACCCCCCAAAAACCAACAGCAGTTAAAAGAGACAAAGGGACATTATATAATGGCAAAAGGCTTTGTCCAACAGGAAAATATCACAATCCTAAACATATATGCACCTAACATTGGAGCTCCTAAATGAATAAAACAATTTCTAATAGACCTAAGAAATGAAATAGACAGCAACACAGAGTAGGGGACTTCAGGACTCCATTGACAGCACTAGACAGGTTACCAAGACAGCAAGTCAACAAAGAAACAATGGATTTAAACTATACCTTGAAACAAATGGACTTAATATATGTATACAGAACATTTCATCCAACAACCACAGAATACACATTCTATTCAACAGCACATGGAACTTTCTCCAAGGTAGACCTTAGGATAGGCCATACAATGAGCCTCAGTACATTTAAGAAAACTGAAATTATATCAAGCACTGTGAGACCGCAGTGGAATAAAACTGGAAATAAACTCCAAAAGGAACAATCAAAAGCATGCAAATACATGGAAATTGAATAACTTGCTCCTCAATGAGCAATAGGTCAAAAACAAAACCAAGATGGAAATTAAAAAATCTTTGAACTGAATGACAACAATGACACAACCTACCAAAACCTCTGGGATAAAGCAAAGGCAGTGCTAAGAGGAAAGTTCATAGCCCTAAACACTGACATCAAAAAGATTTTTAAAAGAGCACAAACTGACATTCTAAGGTCACACCTCAAGGAACTAGAAAAACAAGAACAAACCAAACCCAAACCCAGCAGAAGAAAGAAGTAACCAAGATCAGAGCAGAACTAAAGGTAATTGAAACAACAACAACAAAAATTCAAAAGATAAACAAAAAGCTGGTTCTTTGAAAAGGTAAATAAAGTAAATGGACCATTAGCAAGATTAACCAAGGAAATAAGAGAAAATCCAAATAACCTCACTAATAAACAAAACAGGAGATATTACAGCTGACACTACTGAAATACCAAAGATCACTCAAAGGTAATATGAATGCCTTTACACACATAAATTGGAAAACCTAGAAGAGATGGATAAATTCCTCGAAAAACATGACTCTCCTAGCTTAAACCAGGAAGAATTAGATACCCTGAACAGGCCAATAACAAGCAGCAAGATTGAAATGGTAATTAAAAAAATTACCAACAAAAAAAGTCCAGGACCAGATGGATTTACAGCAGATTTTTACCAGACATTCAGTGAAGAATTGATACCAATCCTCTTGACACTATTCCACAATATAGAGAAAGAAGGAATCCTCCCTAATTCATTCTATGAAGCTAGCATCACCTGAATACCAAAAACCAGGGAAGGACATAACTGAAAAAGAAAACTACTGACTAATATCCTTGATGAACATGAATGCTAAGATCATTAACAAAATACTAGCTAACCGAATCCAACAATATATTGAAAAAGTAATCCACCAGGATTAAGCAGGTTTCATACCAGGGGTGCAGGTATGGTTTAACATACACAAGTCAATAAATGTGATACACCACACAAACAGAATTAAAAACAAAAATCACACGATCATCTCAATAGATGCAGAAAAAGCATTCAACAAAATTCAGCATTGCTTTATTATTAAAACTCTTAGCAAAATGGATGTACAAGGGACATGCCTCAATGTAATAAAAGCCATCTATGACAGACCCACAGCCAACATAATACTGAATGGGGGAAAGTTGAAAGCATTTCCTCTGAGAACTGGAACAAGACAAGGATGCCTACTCTCACCAGCCTCTTCAACATAGTACTGGAAGTCCTACCCAGAGCAATCAGACAACGGAAAGAAATAAAGGGCATCCAAATTGGTAAAGAGAAATTCAGACTGTCACTGTTTGCTGATGATATGATTGTTTA